ATTCTTACATTAGCCTCTCTTCTTTTGAATATGTTTGAAAATTTTATAATACAAAGTTAGAGAGCGAGAGAGAGACATGTTCTGCCTGTTGACTATATGTTCTTATCAAGGCTCCAGCTGCTAATTCTTGAGTGCATGTTCCATGCTGGACTTCTACCTAACGTGTTCTCATTCTGCTGGGTTGCTTGGTCTCCATGCAAACTTACAGCACTGTTAGAATGAGATTATCCCTAGCCTGTCTACCTCCTCAGAGAGTGGACCCTAGTCCCAATACCATGGAACTCCTTAAGGTACCACAGTAGAGATAGTAAGTCTTGGTTTGTTATATTTGGGGGAGGCTTGAGGAAAGGTGGGATGACACAAAGGTCCCTTCAATAGAATTTCTGTTTGTCAATGTACTTGCATGGCTGTGATGATCCTCTCTTAAGTGGGATGGAAAGGTGGCTGAGTTGTGACTTCTTTGGGGAGCAGAGAGCCTGCCACAGAGGTTGAAGAATTTAAGAGCCAAATTTCATGAAATAAAAAATAACTTGAGGCAAAGTAGTCTGTGTCCCAGGCCCCACTCAGGAGATGTGGAGTCAAGTTCAAGCCTGGAGAGGAGCAGCCGGAAGCAAAGCGAGGCTGAAAGTGGGAGAAGTGATAGTGGAGACAGTCTTTGGTGTTTGCATCTAGGAAGGCTTGGGAGGGGATGGGAACAGCAATTTGGATGTGTCAGTTCCTTTAGCCAACTTGAAAGGGAAAGGAGATGGAGAGGTTGTCACTAGATATGGGAACAAGTTGGGAGAGAAAATCAGAGGATTCAAAGTTCCCAGCTGAGCACTGTGGTACTGGAAACAGGGCCAGGCTCTGTGATTGCTCTGCATTCCTTTACTGGGCTGGGTGTCTGGTCAGAAGCCAGGATCCCTCATGCTTTAATAGCTTCATATTTCCTAAATGGCTGTCTGAGAGAAATGTTTTGCATATTTACTAGAGGAAGGATGTTAGGGAGGCCCATACCCATCCTCCCGTGCCATGCACCTCCCCAGCTGGCCCTTTTCCTTCCCATCCTTTGGGTGATTGTGAGGTTAGGGGTGGGGAGTGCAGGAAGCCCCCCTTGTGGGTTTCCCAGGTGTTTCCTCACATGCAGGCCTACAGATGCTGAAGGCAAAATGGAGGTACAGCACCAGGGTCCTACATTAGAGAATAGGGAGGGGAGCCAGGAGGGGTGTCTCTAGCTTTCTCCATCCCCTCGTGCTTGCAGGGCTTGATAATGGGTAGCAGCAGGGGCCAATCTGGAGACAGGCTCAGAGATGAAAGGTCCTGGGTGAGAGCCTCAGTTCCACAACACATGATGCTGTTGATGTTATCACTGTGACAATAACAGCAAAGGGAGATAGGTGTTGGACAGTAAAAGAGGAGCATGTGAAAGAGGGAAGAGAAGAACCATGGAATAGGGATAGACTGTCCCCTGAGGTTGCATGGGAAGATGGATCTGAGCTTGCTCAAAGTCCTTATGAGAGTACGTTTAGCTTCACATACTTATTTCATCCTGTGTGTCAGTGGTAGACCTACTGTGTGCATGCTTCTGCTCCATGTTGACCTGAGGGCTCACAGTCTTTCCAGGCAGTCTCTGAACTGGCTTAGTGCCCTTCTTGACTGTATTCCCTCTACAGCAGGCCTGAGCCTGACCCTTGTAGCTGGCAGCTGATGCCCCATTCAGTCTTTTTTTTTTTTTT